ACTAATCAAAAGCTTATAAATCTAATTATATATTAAGAAAATAAAGATAAAAAAGAGACAGAAAAAAATAATAATATAAAATAGAGAAAAATTATTCAAGAGATTATAAATTTAGTTATACATTATCTTGTATAACAAGATCTTAATAATATTATCAAGTTTGATAATATATTATTAAAATTATATAAAGAGATAAAAAGACTTCAAAAAGTCTTTTTTAAATAAGTTAATATCAAAAATTTTTTATAATATATCTCATTATTTATAAATTATATTTATTAATATAATTAATTATCATATATAAGTCATATAAAATAATATAATTAACTATTTTTTAATTACATATTTCTTGCTAAATATATACTTTAAACTCAGTCTAATAATATATATTTAGAAAAATCTGACTATATAGTAAAGTTTAATTAATTATCTATTATAAATAAATTAATAAAAAATTATCAATTTTATTATTTTCTAAAAATATTTATTAATATCAAAAGTTTAAAAATATATTCAAGAAAAAAAATATAAATAAATCATAAAATTTATTATATATTATAAAATAATGATTTGATATCAAAAATAAAAGAAAAAATCTTATCTAATAAAGAATATTAAAAAAAAATAATTAGAATTTATATAAAATTATGAAAATTATATTATTGAAAATTGATTAAAAATTATATAATCTGACAAGTTCAAGTTTAAATATTTTAATTTAAATAAAAAGTAATATTATCAAAAAATATTTGAAGAAGTTATTAAATTAATTTTATATTAAACTTATAATAAAGTTTGAATATAAATTAGTAATAATTTGAAATTATTTTATATTTTGAAATATTAATAGCTTTTGTAAGATTGATAATATTATATAGAGAAATTATTTTAATTTTTTACTATATTTTTAGAATTTAATATTTAAATTAGTTTAAGTAAATATCTTGACTCAGTTTAAAGTTATTTAAAATATTTTTCCAGATATTAAAATATATTATTAATAGTACTTGATATTTTGGTCAATTTTGTTTAAGATTTATTTTGAGTATTTAAATTTGAACTTGAATCTAGTCTAATTTAAATATTCAAAATTCAAATTCTAATTTTATAAGCTTATATAATCTGATACAAAAAGATTGGTATATCAAATAAATATTAATAAATTATTTTTTCAAAATAAAATTTTTAATTTTGTCTTATTTAATTAAGTTATTAGATATTGAAATTTATTTAAATGTAAAAATTTTTATTATATATCTTTTATAAAAAAATTTTTACTGATAATAACTTTTTTTAATTATTATTTCTTAAATTTTACTATATAAAATTTGATTAAAATTAATATAAAAATTATATAGTAAATAATTTAATTACTTAACTTTGAAACTTAATATCTTTATAACTACTAATTCCATTTTTATAAAATTTAGAATATATATTTATCAAATCTAAAGCAACCTACTTGTATAGTTTAAAGTTTTAATCTTGCAAATTAATAGTAATAATATTTAAAATAACTTTTTTTTTAAAAAAAATAATTTTATTTTAGTTTTTTAATAAAATAATACTTTATTTATTATTGAATTAAAGTATAATAGAATAATTAAAATAGTATAAAAAGTTAATTTAGATTGTTTTTTAGTTAATATAAAAAAATTATAAAGATTAGTTAAAATTTGAATGACTTTTATTAGAAATAATTATTGATTTTTATATTGATATACTAATCTTTTTGCACTGGTCCATATTAGAAAATTATATCATATCAATTTTTTCTTTATATTTTTTATTTATTTCTCAGAATTCTTTTATAAAAAGAGATTTCTTAAAGCAAGGCAAGCTATTTAGCTAGTTTAATCACAAATTTATTACAAATTTAATCTGCATTATATAATTTAAAAGCAACTAATCAATATTACTAATACCTTTAGTCTTATCAATATATAATGAAAAAAATTCAAAAAAAATAAAAAACAAAATTTTATATATATAATTACAAGTATCTATACATTATTATTATCACCTATATATTATTTTGAGTATATATATGAATATTATTTTTGAAATAAAAAGTTGATTTTTCAAATCTGATCTTTTCAAAATAATATCTATAGACAGTATATAATAAAATGATAATTTTCTATAAATTAATATAAAATTCTAAATGTTAATATTTCAAATATCTGATATACTTAATATCCTAATATAGTAATTATTATTTATAAATCACATAAATATTATATGACTTTTAAGTTTTATAAATTAAAAATAAATAAGCTTATTATAAATCTAAACTGATAAAATAATAAATTAAAATAAATAGAATATTTTTATTAGCATATTTTTATAAAATATTATATAAAATTTTAAGTTATTATGATTTAAAATTTAATACATTTTTATATGATATATATAATAAAAAGATAAATTTTAAATTAGAAATTAGTACTTTATATATAAAATTTAAATATATTTTTATATGATAATTATTATTTATTTTATTTATTTGATAATCTTAATTAAATCTGTCATTATATATTAATAATCCATCTATCAAAAAGAAAAATTAATATTAAAGAATAAGAATGGATAATAATAAAAGATTTGCAAAAAAAATATAAATTATTGATAATTAAAGAGATAATAATGATAATGATTAGAATGATAATAATGATTATAATAATAATAATGATTGAAATAATAATAATAAAAAGAAGTTGAATTAGTTTGGTTAAATGATGTATATTTAGAGAAAAAAAATATGAATTTTATCTTACAGGAAAAATAAAAAAATTAATATATTTTGATAAATATGAATCTAATGACTTTTTTATAAAAGCTGCTAAAAAAACTAAGAAAATAATAATATTTTTAATTAAAAATTCAATTTCTGATAACTTTGATGAGATTTTAAATAAATTAGAAAATGATAAATAAAATAATTAATATAATTTAAATGAAAGAATTAAAATTTTAAAAAAAGAACTTAAAGAATAGCAAATAATATTAACAATTACTAAATATAATAAAAGAGAGCAGTTTATAAATATTTGAATAGATTGGATAATAATGGAAAAGAAAAGCAAAAAGCCAATATAGAAGCTGCATAACTGATTTTTATTGAAAGTACACTATATAAAGCAAGATCTATCTGATATTAAGTTAATTATTAGCTTTAATATAATTATCTATTAATAAGTTATTAAGATAAATATCAAAAAACTATATAATTAATAAATGATGAAGATATAGCAGAAAAATACTATATATAGATTCAATCTTAAGAAAAAATAATTACTTCATTAAAATTCAAAGAATTTATTGAAGAAAAGATTCTTATAAATTCAGAAATATTGAAAAAAAGTACTATTAATATTGCAATTATAGCATATTAACTTAATATGCTTAAATATTTTTTTCAATTATAAAAGCAAAATAAAAATGAATTCATTATTAAAAAATAAAAAATTAAACTAATTTTATATGATAAATAGGTATATATTATGATAAATATAAGTATTTCAATATTATAAGATATCAATAATTATTTCTAAATATAATATTTAGTTATGAAAAGTATATAACTAAGTATGAAGAGAAGAATATGAAATAAATATTACTAATTTTGGAACTAAATAAAAAGAAAATAATTCTTCTAATATATGATAAGAGTGTATTCTACTCAAATAATAGCAAATAAGAAGTATGAGTGAAATATCATTATGCAAGAAGAGAAATAGATATTCTATCATGATTAGTAAATTTTTGATGGAAAAATATAACTGACTTAAATTAAACTCATAGTAATATCAAGAAAGTTTATCTATAGCTGAAGAAGCTTGAGTCTATCTTCAACTGGAAAAAGATTAAGATAGATACTGAATAAGTGAAAATTTAGTCAAATAAGTGAAAATAAAGACTATATTAATCTTTGAAATCATATTTTCAAATTGTATTATCTTATTTATATTTGATATTAGTTCAAATCATATAGTATATAGATTTGATATACTTATAACAAGTCAGATGAATCTAAAATCTGGAGACAAGCAATCAAAAATATAAGATATGATTTTTAGACCAGATAACTGTCATTAATTAATAGTTGATGAAAAAAATAAGCCTAAAGAGATGAAACAGATGTTAATCAAATATGAATTGTGAAAAAATAAATTAAGTGCTAACTGTAAGTTATACAAGAATAAGATTAATAATATAAATTGGACAGACTATTATATATGGTAAATCATTTCATTATAGTCAGATTTTTTATTATAAAAAAGTGTATTAGAAGAAGTCATACTAGAAGCTAGATATAAATATATTTTTTACCTAAAGTTTCACTGCAAACTGAATTATATCGAGTGATACTGGGATGTGGTGAAAAGGTATGCTTGAGAGAATTATGACTATTCTTGGTCAGGCTTGCAATATGTTATTCCTATAGCATTGGAATCTGTTAATATGATTATAATAAGAAGATTTGCTAGGAAAGCATAACATTACATAGATTTATATAGGAAGGGAATTACTGATAAGTTAACAGAATACACTGCCAAAAAGTATAAGTCTCACCGTTGTATTCCTGAGTATGTATTGTCAGAATTGAATAAAATAAAATTATGAGATGGTATATATATTTATCATGATAAAAAATATATGGTCATGTGATTTATTATAAAATTACGTGGTGATCTACATCCGAAATTTCGGACTGTGCGGTTTATAGATGATAACCACCATATCTCTAAAAAATAAATAGAAATATATATGAAAGAGTAAGGGTATTGTGTAATTATTATTTATTACACGCACCTATATACATTTTGTATCAAGTATAATGTTGGGATATTAAGAAGTCAGAATTTTGGATATTCAAGATGTTGGGTGTTTGGAATTTTGATATTTCAGAATATCAGAATTTTGACTTACGAGATTTGGAGCAGATCCATTAAAAATGCATTATACAACCTGTCCTAATTACAGTATGTCAATCTGCCATGACACTCTTTGAAAAGATATACATGGAATCATTGCGAGATATGACATACACTCCATTACTCGCGTTTTTCTATCACTGGGGAATCGGAAATAAAGTGAATCTGGACGAAACTTTTCATTGGTATAAAATTGCCGCCAACGAAATAATATGATTGTACAAAATCAAGTTGGCGGATGTTTTGACGTTGGCTTTGGACCGTTAATAAGTTACTCGCACGTTATTTCGGGACGCCATGGCGCTATTTTTAAAGGGTAATTTCACAGTTTTATGGTACAACCTATAGCCTCTACTCTGAATCTATAATCGAAATACTAGTTAATATCCATGCCCGATACCCAAAATCTCGACACCCAAAATTTTGATATTTCCGGATTTTGATAAGTCAGGATTTTGGACGTTGGGATGTTGGGTATCGGGATTATGTCTCCAGTATTTCAATTATGGTAATGGCGCATATGTAAAATTTCGCAATATCCAGGCTAATTTTGTCCTTATACAAGGCAACTTCCCTATAACGACACTTTAATAACGGAATTCCCTCTATAACGACAAATTTTCTAGAATGATTCATATAATGACATTCTCTTTATAAGGACAAAATTAGCCTGGATATTTGATGTCGTTATAGAATGTCATTATAGAGTCAATTTTCCTTTAGTAATATATGAAACATTCTAGAAAATTTGGTCGCTGTAGAGGGAATTCCGTTATAAAAAAGTGTCGTTATAAGGACTTGTTTATTTTTTTTCACATTGATCTTGCGATTTGATTGGTTTACTTCTTAAAAAGCCACGTTAAAGGCTAGGGGTATTTATTGCAGATCAAATGTGTGGTGAATATGTGGCTAAACCGACTAAACGGCTTGCCTTGCTTTAAGGAACCCCTATTACTGGTAAATTTTAACGTTAAAAATAAAACGACTATCGATAGTTTATGTGTCCATAAAAGCACATTAGATATACTCTTTAAATGCATACTCAAGTTTATAAAACTCTTATAAATTTACTCTCTAAATGCACATTTTTCAAATTAATTGTATGGTTCTAAGGGATATGAGTTGACCCAATCATGAGGTTTTGCTTGAAAACTAATGAAAAAATTTTTTCGGGTTCTAGAAAAATATACGTATTGTGTTTCAAATAACAAATTTAGTTAACGCGCAGCAACCTGTTGCTTATCAAAATGCCAATGAGTCGCCAAAGAGAATCAAACTAATGTTACATGATGCGAGCAAATTGATATACACGAAAATAGGTGTAAAAAAATGCCATAAAATAAATAATATTATTATGATTTATTGTAAAAATCTATTAGGATTGTTTTGACATTTTAAAGTCTATTAATCAAGAAGATCCAGATATTGAGAGAAAACTTAAGTTTATTTAGTACAAAATCATTTACCCGATCGTAATCTTCAAGCAATATTGTTGAATTCATCTTTACCATTGCATATAACTGTTCTTGATTTTTTGATCATTACGCAAACGATTAAAGACATCCACTCGTCGTATCTCGCGATTATCCAGAACCTAAAAAACAGTATGCGCGCAACAATCGGCGGATAAAGACGAAATATATGCACAATTTCCTTTGGCGATTTCATATCGTTACGGGCTTTGGCAAGTTCGTGATAATGAACGGCCGTTTCAATTCAGTGAAGTTTAATAATAACTTTGTAGCATATCATCATCTGGGAACTTGTTACCAATATTCAATTGGATGTAAGAAGAGAGATATGACTAAAGCACACAAGTGCTATTTGAAATCCGGCGATGGATTTCAAGACGGGTTAATGTTATGTTATTTAAAGGGAAAGGGTACTCAGAAAGATATAAACATACAGCTTTAAAATGCTGCTTGAAGTTATTTAATGCTGGAAGACCAGATGTCAATCCCGATTATACAAATGCTTTTATGCGTGTAATAATTAAACCGATCTTTTTTTTAATATATTAAATTAATGCAATTCGAAAAATCACATTACACATAACATTATTCTTTAAAACAGAGTCTCAATGCGTCGCCAAGAGTCGTTAGCAAAGCAAACGATGAAATAGAATTTAGTATAATCTTACCACATTTTAGAAAGTAAAATTAACAGACTCAACTAAATCGTATCGATACTTTTATTTTGATTGTCTTATTTATTATATTTAAAATAATTTAATTTCTTTATTAAATAAATAATTATTAGAATTTATAAATTCTTTAAAGTTATTTATTATAATAAAATAATAATTAAAAATAATATATCAAAAGCTAAATTTGTTAATAAATATATTAAAAATTAAAATTTTCTCTTTGTGATATCTGGATGCCAGCATGCAAAAGTTCCACCTTAAAATGCATGAAATAACTGATAAAGTTTCGCGAAACACCTTTTTTCTTTGTTAATTACAGATTATTTTAACAAAATATGCCTATATAATAAATGATCAATCAATAAGTTTTTCTTGATGTCAAAATAAAAGCAAGTTACAAAAAAAAGCGATTTTCATTTTGAGCCTTACCATAAATTTGACTAGTGCACTACAAATTAAAAGTTCTGGTGACATTTGTATGTGGACATCTTTTACAAACACGTAAATCGAGTATGAAATGCAGGACACTTGTACAGCTTTTATACACGTAAGATTTACTTTTTAACATATTCCACGCATGTCAAAATTTTGAGATTTAAAAATCGGTTGCGGCTGCAAGTCAATTTTTGCCACTGAAGATGCTTATTGGAAGTCCATGTTTTAAATTTGATCTTTTGATTGAAAGTTTCACATCTTAATTTAATCATACGGCAAATGTGATCACAGTTTACACCAAAAACATGACGACATGTTTTGAAATTTGAGTTTTCTTACGAAGCTAAAAGTGCTGAATTTATTACTTTTCCGTCATCCAAGACCGCTTTTAATTATTCTTCATCCACATGATTCGGCATCAAGGAAAATCAATTGGTTTGATTTCTGGAAAATGGGAACTTATTGAATTTGTTTTTGAATGTGGTCAACCTTTATTGTATATTACGACAGAAGGAAAAAATTTTATGGACAAATATTTTAATAGCCTTTCAGAAAGTACAAAGGTGAATATTTGCAACAATACTTTCATTTTATCCTGCCGTTTTAATCATAATCTATACAATGAGAATGCTATTGTTTAATTTAAAACGGACACAAATGACAGAGAAGAAAGTCAAGCTGTTTTGTTGGTTAATTAATTTACACACCCCTACAATATATTACCGGAAATCCTAAAAACGAATCTGCCACTTTGAAATCCAATATCTCAAAATTCAATGATCCAATTTAAATGAAAATACTCCATTAAATTTGTCGCGACTCCACAAATCTTATGATAATATCTTTATTTAAATGAGATCACTAGATTACAAAAAATTGGGTTCCAAAACGATAGTTTCATTTTTGAAATTTCCGGTAATATATTGTGGGAGTGTGTATATTTGATTAAAACAGACAACTAACCCATTTATGCATTGCGATATCCATCTTATTTTTCTTTATCGATGCGTACTACTTCAACTGTATTTCGAACAAATAAAAAAGGAACTAAAAATTGGAGAAAAGTTGATTTCTGGCAAGATATTGACGACGAAAATTTTATCATGGCGTATTTGCCCCGGTCGTATCGGTATACATGTACACTCCCCGGTCAAAAGTCTCCGACCACGATTACAGATTATTACCTTTTAAAATAAGAATACGCCAAAAACTATTAAGCATAAATAAATAAATTTTTTTTCTCTTACAATGTCCAAAAGGCGTGAACTTACTGAGTTTGAATGAGGAGAGATTATAGGTCTCTGGAAAGGAGGCCATAGTGAATGAAATATTGGAGAAATTCTTGGACATTCTAAACCACTATTCATGACACTATAACAAAATATAAAAATTCAGAAAATGTTACAGATGCTTCACGTTCAGGAAGGCCATCAAAACTCACAGAAAGAGAAATTAGAAGTCTTGTAAAATTAGTTAAGGAAGATTGGCAACAATCACTAGAGGAAATGACAAAAAAATTTAGTGAGTCTTTATCAATTTCAGTATCTTTTAGTACTGTAAAGTGTACTTTACATATTGAGGGATTTCATGGATGAGCTGGAAAGAGAAAACCATTTATTTCTGAACAAAATTGTAAAAAAAGAATGAAAGAAGAAATTGGAATGATGGGTGGAATTCTATTATTTAAAGTGATGAATCTCACTTCAAAATGATGCACACTATTGGGTTTATGATGCAAGTTGCTTAATTCCAATTGTAAAATCAGGCAATCAAGGAGTTATGATATGGAGATGTTTTGCAAAAGATAAAATTAGTCCTTTAATTCAAGTTTCAGGTAGAATAACAGATTCTATATATATAGACATATTAGAAATACTTTTTTACCCTTTTATAATAGTTTAGAAAACAATTCATAATATATTTTTCAAGATGATAATGCCCCAATACATAGGGCAAGAATGGAAAGAGAATAATTTGGTATTAAGTCTTCCATGGCCTGCACAGAGCCCAGATCTTAATCCAATTGAACATTTGTGGGATGTTTTGGAAAGAAGGATTAGGGAACATAAACCTCATTCAAAAAATATTGTGGAATTAATGGTAGTTTTAGAGGAGTGGAATAAAATTGAGCCTGAAATTTTAACAAATTTAGTTGAAAGTTTGCCAAGGAGGATTCAAGCAGTATTAGATAGCCATGGAAATCCAACTAGATATCATGTTTTTCTGAATAATATAAATTTTTTATAATAAATTGTCAAGAAATTAATTGTTGAAATTTGTGGTCGGACCGGGGAGCGTACATGTTAGCTGTTTTTGTATTAAGATCATCACATTGATAATTGCATAACAAAAATTTCTACATATAAAGGTTAAATCGACGACTTTCGCTGTGTATTCACCGTCACCAATACATGTAGTCTGTGGGCCAAACACATACACAAAATGAAAAACATTGTGTTAAAAATTCGCCTAATAACGACAACAAATGTATCTAAAATTGTTGTTCCCAATTTTATCGTTATTATAAATTATGACATAGTAATTACGACATAAATCATAATAAAACCAAGAATTATGGATTATGACAACAAACTTTTAATTTATCATAAAATTACTATCGCTATCGGTAGAGTAACTTTCATCATGAAATTTTGATTATTGATAACGCTTGAGTGGATAAATAGTTATCAAAATAACTAGATCACAAAATGATGGCAAAAACGACTTCAGCCGAGAATTCTTTTTCAATGTCACCTATGGAAGCTGCATTTTGTGGTGGAATTGCAGGAATGGCATCAAGGCAGGTTTTTTTTCGATCGATGAAATTTTTATTTTTAACGAAATTCATAAGCTTTTAATATAACTACAGATTGGTTGTTTCCCCGCTAGACGTGGTGAAAATACGATTGCAGGCAGGTATTTAATTTTAATGGCATGGCAATATTTTGGCATCCGATTTTAAATACTTAATTTTTTTTGATTGTATTATAGCTTCAAGCAGATGCAATAAAACGAATGAAACGAGCAATATTAAGTCAAGACAATGTAACTTATAATAATATTTCTGATGATTACCGTATATCTCCGAAAAGATGATGCCCTTTTTTTGCATGCTTTTAAGCTTGAAAAATGAGGGATAGTTTATTTTCGGTAACATTTTTTCAAATCTTTTATTATTAGATTATCGCGAACGAATCACGCATACCAAGAAAATATAATGGAATGCTTCACGCGTTTAGTTTAATCATACGGGAAGAAGGTTTTCTGGTAAATTGAAAGAGTTATAGAAGAAAATCAATTTACAAGTTTCATTTTTTTTTTGATTTGTTAGGCGTTATGGAAAGGAAACCTTTCAGCTCAATATTTATATTTAACATACGGATCTGTGCAATTTCTCACATATCACGAACTTGAAAAACGTTCGTCATCGTCAGAAGCATTGCAAAAGCTTCTTCCTAAAAACGCGTGGTCGTTTGTAAATGGTGCAACATGTGGGACCGTTGCAACTGTTGCTACTTATCCGTTTGATTTGTTGAGAACGAGGTTTGCAGCACAAGGGCATTCCAAGGTAAAAAATAAATGGCCACTATTAATATTTTCAACACAGAGAACTCATTTATTTTATTAGAGTTATAAAACAGTTGGGCAAGCGATTAAAAAAATATATAGAGATGAAGGATTACGTGGATTTTATCGTGGTGTCTCACCAACAGTTATTCAAATTATTCCGTATATGGGAATAATGTTTGGAATACGAGATATAACGAAAAAGAAGATACAAACCCTCGGGGTAATATCTCCAATTTCCTATTATCAATTACCCTTAATATCCAACAAAAAGAAATAAATTACAATTAAAAAAAAATAAAAAGCAGGAAAAAGGTCGCTACCTCTATAATCTCACAAGTTTCCAAGACACAATGAGCGGTGCGATCGCTGGAATAATCAGCAAAGTGGGAGTCTTTCCAATGGACGTTGTCCGAAAGCGAATGCAAATTCAGGGGCCAAATCTTTCCAATTACGTAATTTCCAACATACCCACCTATAAGGGTTTTTGGTGGCATTGTCTACTCGAAATAGCAAAGACTGAGGGTTTTCGTGGTCTTTATAAGGGTATTACGCCGGCTGTTGTTAAAGCAGCACCGTCGAGTGCTGTTACTTTTTTCGTGTATGGGCAAATGCAGAAATTTGTTGAGTCTCTACATTCTTTTTAAGAAAAATTTTTTTACGTATTCTGATTTGACCATGCATGTAATTATTTTATGTGACAGGTTACGCGTGAGCGCTCAAAAAAATCTCTAATTTTAACATTAAAAGTGGCCAGGGTTAGAATTAAAGTTAAAATTATCGTTATAGGTAAAAATTGCCTCACCGACACTTTCAGGCATATGATTTGTCGGCTCTTATCAGTATTGGAAATCTAATGTTCTCAAGAACATTGAGAACATTAAAGAACATAAAATTTTTAAAATTTTGAATTTATGTTCTCTATAATATTTTTAATACATGTTTAAATTATAAAATCAATTTGATTAAAAAATCTAGTTCTTAGTAGAAAAAAAATAATTTTTACATATTTACGTATTAACTAAATGTATTGCTTAAATTCAACAAATTGATTAAGTCAATAATCTTTGATTTATTGCGAATATTAACGTTAAAAATTTTTTTTAAGAACCTAAATGATTTAACCAATCAAATCGCGTGCAACGCAAAAACTCGAAAACAAACAACTGTCTTTGTTCTAACTGTTTACTCTTTGTCCTAATGTTTTTTGTTTGTCCTAATGCTTTTTACTTGTCTTAGCTCTAAATGCTAACTATAACGTTTAACACTTACCGTGTGATTACGTGCTAATGAAAAACCACGTGTAGTAAATCTTATTTGGTTGCATTAATTACATGTAATTAACTCGCTATTGATGCCCATGTAAGATAGGAAAAATAAATTTTTTGTGCATCATTAAGTGTATAATTAAGTGTAAATGAAATGCATTGCTCAACAAGCTTTAATTTTTCCAATGAATGAAAATAATAACGAACATCAACAACAACAAACAAAACACATTTAATTCTTCGCCCCTATACAAAAGTCTAAAACCATTCGATTCTTTTTTTTTCCTTTGTGAAATTTTTTCACGTCCTAAATAAGAAGATTCAAATCAATAGAATCTTCTATTTGTTTGCGAATCAAGTATTTTTCGTCATCAACAAAAGTGTCAAAACTTCCATGTTGCTAAAAAAACATTTGTGCATTAATTGCGACGTAACCATGATCCGAGCTAATTAAGCGCAGTATAATATGAATCCCCCTTAAAATCACAAAAAAATTTTTCATGCAGTAATTGTCTCAGACTAAATTTAAACCAATAACCCCCAAAAATAACATCAATTTTGATAGGTGGTAATTTAAAAAAATTGGATAAACCTTCCCGGTATTAACGGGACTCATCAACGTAGACCTTGTCAATTATAATTAACATGTATAAAAATATTATAGTGTAAGTCTTATCCTGTATATTTATTATTACAATGTATGTAGACTCAGTATTAGCCTATTATTGATATTATTTTTTATCATTATCATTGTTGTTTCTTCTTCTTATTATTATTATCATTATCATTGATATTATTATTACAAAATAGTTGTCGTTTTCTTATCGTTATTTTTATTTATTATTATTTATTATTATTGATTATTTATTTGCTTTTCATTTAAAATAATGTCTTGCTTAAAACGGCTTTTTTTTGCAGAATGGGAACAAAGGATTGTTCACACCAACCATATAATGGCGATAACGATAAAGGTGGAATCAAGTAATTGCACGCGTCCATATAAACCAACCATTGTTACCCGTCATAATATATAAGCGATATTGTAAAATTCCTTAATCACTGATAAAGTATGAAAATCTACATAATTTTTTGCATTATCATTTTAAACACATCAACTTCGCAAATAAATTTTTAAATTTCTACGCCTACAAAGAAAATATCGCTATGACCCAGACACTTTACCCGTCACACATACACACACATAGACACACACATACACGCATACGTGTATAACATATATGCACATGTGAAAAAGTAATGTTGAAAACTTTCCCATACTTTTACCGAAATAGAAGTCGAAAGCGACTATTTCCTAAACGTAGCAACAAAAACAAAAACTTTGAAAAACTTGTCTTTTACTTTTCAAACGAAACCATTTCATTAACGTATCGATGCTTCTTCCGCTGTGAATGGTTAGCAAAGAAATCAATTTCAGGTAAGAAGAACTACAATAGACAGCATTGAGTCGTCAATATCAATCAATCAATCAATTCGATGTTGCATTACCCACCGCCAATATTACAACCTCAATCATCCGATGCACTATGGGTTTCACATAGCCGAATTTGAAACACTTATCTATTCTCATTTATCATCTTCTTTAAACTACTACTTTAATAAAAAAAAATATATATCATTTATATACATGTGTGTATATATATAATCAGCGATTGAATTTTTTTCAAACTTTAGAGATCATTTCATCATTCTCTTCCTCTTGAATCTTTTTATTTTTTTGATAAAAATAAAGTTTTAGGCTAAAAAAAAAACTTGTAACGAAAGTTATTATAAGGGTTTTTATTACTTACGTTTTAAAGATAATATTCACCTCTCATTATAATATAAAAGTAAAAAGTTTGCTTTCGAAAATTATAATAAAATCTAAATTTTCCAAAGTGACAAGTTGTAAATACAAAATTACAATTGCAAAATTATAACCTTACAAAATGTTTGACCATGAAAGTCGTTCAAGTAGTCGCTCAAGCAGTCGCTCAAGCAGTAACGCGAGTTCAAATCCGCCAAAAAAACATGGGCGTAAGTCAAGAAAAGTGCGAAAAATGGTATTTAAAGCAAGGCAGCGAATGGTCTTAATAGTCGCCGATTTCATAAATATGTATGCCAATTCCCTCTCCGCTGAGCCATAACGATATCTGACGTGTTGCAAGACGCATCATTACAAGAGTGTGAAATTTTTTGGTGCAAAAATAGTGAACGGTAAATTTTCTGATTTCTTTTCACCGATCACTTAATAATATTATTAAAGTATTCTCATTTTTAATACCTGTAGATAATTCAGGCTGGACCTTTTTAAACACTTATCATTTATTTCTAAAGTTATAATAATTTCTATTTGTAAATTTCTTTTGTTTGTAATTATTTTTTTAATCATTTTTCTTTGTAAATTTCCTTTTTCTATTCCTTTAAGACATTTGTAGATTCTTTATTTATTTCTTATCTTAATTTAATTATTATCCCTTACGGAAAAACAAAACTCTTAATAATTAATACCGATACTTAATAACCTTTTTTTTTTTGGCCTAAAAATTATTCAATATTTTTCGTTTTAAAAAAAGTTTTTTTTTTTTACTTCTCGTATTACAGTACATGTATGTGCTTAGAACAAATAATTTAGGTAATTAAATAACTCTTCTTTGGTTTTTTTCGTTGGTGATACTTTCATCATTGATTAAATCTAGCTAAAATCTAGTTTCATTGTCTCATTTCCCCCTTTTTTTATTGTTCTACTTTTGTGTATGTGCGCGTCTTTTCGTAGTTTTTTCTACGTACATTATTTTTTGTAATCACTCAACGTTCTATGAACGATAAATATATTGTCATGAGATTCTATTGTTCTCAACAAAACGCCCGCGAAAAAATTTTGAGCGTGGGAAAATCATATATAATCAACGTGATTCAACTTTTAGGCACTATTCATTTCCTTCTTTGGGTTTTTTAAAGTTTAGTAGTAATGGCAAAGAAGATAATGTGATGATCTATCTTATTTTAATGCATCAATGTCTGCATTCACACGCACACGCGTTTTTTTTACCTAGAAATTAAATGCCATTATTAAGGAAACAATTATCACACGTTACTCAAACGGAATCGTGCAAACACAAAATTGTCTCCGCTTTTTCAGTAAAGACTAGCTAACAAGACTATATAGATGTGGCATTGGCTTATTGTTCTACCCACAAGCTAACTTATTCCTGCCAAAATTATTGGCTTTTCTCGACAAAACAACAATGGCCATTCCCCTTCACATAGTAAATATGTTTCGCGCGTTAATAAATGGTTAGCGTTAGTAATAAATTTGAAATACGTAGATATTAATAAGAATAAGCCAAACATATGTCATTACATATTTTTAGTGCATAACGGAAAAACTGCATCAAGATGGTCACGTGATGCCAACGAAAATTGCATGTACAATTTATTGTTTATAGCATATAAATGGCGTCACGTCGAATAAAATATTATATATGTAAGATACTATTCATAGATTTCTATGTTTGAACAATTATGCATCGTAATTCGTCGAATCCGGATTATTTTCTTATCTTCTTCGCGGTGTGGTTCCGAAGTTCGAGCCTTGTTCGGTTCGGTTCGAGTTCGGTGCGAAATCGGACTTGAGCCTGCTGGTTTGAACCAAAATGAAATCATTAATTTTAATTATCTTGTAACCAAAAAAAAATTTATAACTTTAATTAACTCATATTGAGAATATAAGGTTTGTTTTGTCAAAAATAAAGTTTAATTTTACAAAATTTTAATATTAACTATAAGCTTCTTTATTCATTTAACAATTAATAAATTAAAAATTTCTCTAAACCTTTTATTATGACATTTTCATACAAAATTCAATTATTCAATTATCTGATTATGAATATACTATTTTGAATTTTCGATTTAAGAGGCTCAAGCTTTTTGAAGCTTGAATTACCAAGTTTTCAAGTCATCAAGTTTGAATAAAAACTTTTAATTTAGCTTTATTTATTAGTATATTTTTCAAGCTTATTATTTGAAATATATAATATTATTAATCAATTATTATATTATTATAGTAAGCATCAAAAGTAATGCAAGACTTGAGTTTTTTATTAATTATAATTAATAAAAAAAAACTCAAGTCTTATATTACTTTTAATGCTTACTATAGTATTAAAATAAAAATAAAGTATTATGATTAATTAAATCTTTTTTTGAAATATTCTAATTTATTTAATAAAATAATCTAATAAATTATTATTATAAATATATTAATAAATTAATAAATTTATAATTTTATTAATTTAAGATATATTTTAATAAAGAATTATCATTAATAATTTATAAGATTTAAATAATTTATAATATATATATTTATATTAAATGATTAT